CACACACACACACACACACACACACACACACACACACACACACACACACACACACACACACACACACACACACACACACACATGCACCGAGACACACGCACACCAGAAATATACAAACCCCCAAAAGGAACGGCATGCAAACATTTCGCCTTAGGTGAGAAAGGAAAGCTGCAAAACACAACAAAAAAATAAAGAACGAAAGAAAAAGTGGAGAGAGGCAGTGTTGTCCCGTTATCCCAGCACAATAGATGATAAGAACTGACCCGTTGCTGCGAAGCAGGACTCTCTGCTACAATCTTCTGTTCTCCGCCTGGCAGTCCAGTATTGATCTGCAATCCTGCTGGCCGACCTCGGCTTCTTCGATCTCCATTACCAGACAGCGATCTGACAGTTGAAGGCCCCGAAGGCGGGTTGAAGTCCATCAGGTTGTCCACGGCGGCAGCCATGACGGACCAGTTAGCTAGCTGGCTGACTGGCTGGCTACCTGGCAAACTCCTGGATGTAGAGCGACTTCTTCGATCACAAGGTCGTTCGTTCAGTCGCACTTGTCGACGATCTCCAACTCCGACGACGAAGCGACGAAGCCTCAAAAGTGATATACTCCACAGATGCGAAGTCAACTCAAAATTCGATAGACTCAGATGGCATCATCATAGCTTTAATAAACCAAACCCAGCACCAAATGAGGCTTGCCCATTCACCATCATCTAACCATCATCATAAGAAAATCTTCAACAGAAAACCAGTCCACGCTTGACAGACTCAGGCGTGAAGAAAAACTTCAAATCTAAAAAGCTGAACAGAAAAGACTCGGTCTCTAAGCTCGAGAGATTCAGGCTCGAAGAGACTTAAAAGATAGTCTCTTAAAGCTCACCGGCAGCCTAACTCAGGCTCTACCCTCCACAGACTTAAGGTTAAGCTTCACAGACTCAAAGGTAAGCTCAGCAGAGTCAGAGTCAGTGTTGAGTTCAGCAAGCTCGGAACTAGAGTCAACAATTAGGGCGCGACACTCGCTGTAAGCTCAACGGTAGATAAGACGGAAGAGCTAAAAAAAGCTCAGCGGTATATCAAGAGTAAAGAGGTAAAAGCTCAACGGTATCAGGGTAAAGCTTGACAGAGTGAGAGAGTGAAGCTCAACAGCGTAAGAACTGGGCTCAGCAGACTCAGAAAAATAAAATCTCAACAGACTTAGAAATCTCATCTGGACAGACGCAGCGATGGAAGCACAACAGACTGAGGGAGGTTATCTCAAGAGACTCACAGAGTTAAGCTCAACAGACTCAGAGAGTTAAGCTCAACCAACTCAGAGAGTTAAGCTCAACAGATTCCAAGAGTTAAGAGCACCGGTACATGGGCACCTGGGGCGCGGGCCTGACACCTCGAATTCTGGAAGCGCGAAATGAAAGCGCGACCTCTGATCCCCACTTTATCAACGGCAGGCCCAGCATTCGACGTTTCGGCCCTGTTTTCTTGTGTCGACAAGTTTCCGAGTGCAAGTCTTCGGCCGTGCACTAGTTGTTTAAGCTCAACAGACTTAGAGAGTTAAGCTAAACAGACTCAGAGAGTTCAGCTAGATGGACGCGGAGCTACTCAAGAGACTCAGAGAGTTGAGCATAACAGACTCAGAGAGTTAAGCTCGACAGATTCAGAGAGTTCAGCTCAACAGACTCAGAGAGTTAAGCATAACAGACTCAGAGAGTTAAGCTCGACAATGGACGCAGAGCTAGAGCACACTCCAACAAGTGAAGGTTGTCGAGGGCAGAACAAGAGCTCTCACAAGCACGTAGCCGGCCCAAATGTGAGGCTGACTACAGCCCGCGTCAGCGCGTAATCGTCTTGCACAAGCGAGCATGTGCAAGGGAGGAGGTAGCCCGAGCATCATATGGGAGGGAGGAGGTAACCGAAGAGCCCGTAGTCCTCTCTCAAACGACCGAACAAACTGCAGCCCAAACTAGACCGCTGAGATCACCTCACCTCACCTCACCTCACCTCATGGTGATCTCGCGCCAACGTCTTCTCTTACGACAGTCGTCGCTTCAAATTTCAAATACTAGAACAGCATCTGACCATCACCAATTCAACTTGCAGTTTGATGAGGATAATATGCTGCCATAGAGCCCAGTAGCCAATCAATGGAACCAGGAATCGTGTCCGTGTAAAGCAGAGTGCCTAGGGTAATTACACACATGCCAGCGCCAGCAAGTCCTCGAAACAACGAGAAGCAGCGATCCTAGGCGCGGGCACGAACGTAGAACAGACCGCTGCGGATAGATGGACAACCGCCCTGGGTCGGCGGATAAGTAGATATAAAAACCGACGCCCCCTGGGTCGGCGGATACGTAGATATAAACTACACCGCCCTGGGTCTGCCGATAAACGGATAAACTACGCAGCGTTGGGTCCGCAGATCAACGGATAGAACTCACAGCACGGGTGAGCGGACAAATGGACAAACTGAGTAGACATCGCAGGCCAGTTTTTTTTCTTTCAACAGATGGAAGCAGGAAGGTTGCTGTGTGGCGCAAAGAACTACACACAGAATGAACACAGAACGCGCACAGAAGACATGAACACAGAACAGCCGTGGAACAACCGCCCTAGTTCTCGCTTTTTGTGAGCGTAATTTGCAAAAGCAAAGGTAGGCAGACAAAAAAGTGACCTCCCTGACTCAACTACCATACCAATACCACGTCTGTTTTCGACTTCGCTAATTGTGGTTCTTGCTGCACATCAGCAGCATGTTCAAAATGATCTCCGGCCCAGACAATGCCGTACAATTATCCGACTCCACCTTGATTATGTTTCATTTTTTGGATTAATTATAGACTCGTTGGTGGGAAAAAAAAAGTGGAGAGAACTGAACTGCCGCTCTGCAAGAGCAAATCTCGGCAGCAAAGGCCAATTGCAAGCCTTCCTTCCAAAGCAAAATGTCCGTGATGACAGAGATCGCTCGCTCTGAGACTCACATTACAACGATATCTCCTCCTCCTCCTCCTCCTCCTCTTCCTCTTGCTCTTCCTCTTATTCTTCTTTTTCCCTTTTCTCCCTTCGCTTCCATCATCCTTGTATGCAGCACCACCGGCATGAATAACCCCACCTTCCTTTTTTGGTCCTCAACCTTTCCTTTTTCGGTCATCAACCTTTCCTTCTTTGGTCATCAACCTTCCCTTTTTGGTGACGCATTCACATCGCTCTTCGCTCGTCCAATACCTGCAAGAAAACAATACATGTTTTCACAGGACAACGAAAGATTACTCCCTGTTTTTAAGTGAAAAATTACTCCTAATTTAATTCTCAAAAAAAAAAAGAAAACAATACAGTCCAAAATTGAAAACAAGAAGACCAGCAGCCATAACTCTCCCTCCTCAGATTGTTTTTCCACTTTTGAAATTCTTCTTTTTGTTGCCCGTTTTCGACTTAGGTCAAGGTTGCTCGTGTTGATGGCGTGCCTTGTGGACTTGAGTGATTCTCTACTACTCCATGACTGAGTGAATGCTAGTGTGTGTGTTCGATTCAATGTACTCAACGTCGCTACGTGCCAAATATGGTGACGTTTGGACTGCTGAAAATCCCTCAACCGAAATTTCTGAAATTTTCTGAAAAAAAATCTGAAAGTTCAAAGTTTTGAAATTTTCTGAAATTTGGGTTGGGCAAATTTTGGCGAATTTTGATGATGGTCCACCTTTGCCTTGGGAGTTTCATACTTTTTTTTTTCCTCTTCTTTCTTGCTTTTTTGTTTTTTGTTTTTTTCGCTGTTAGCTAATAAATTAATAATACTTAATATGGTGTCCAGTGTCCAGACTAGGTACCGGTGGCAAGTTTGATTAACAAAGCCTTCGGAATAACTTTTTTTATAAATAAATGGCATGGTTGCCCCGGTCCCGGACATCCAGACAGCGGACACGGGGCCCGGACCCGTGTCTGGATTAATCCGGACGTCCGGTAATCCAGACACCGATCCGGACAACCGGACATACGGAACCGGACGGTCCGGTTATGAATGAACAGGTCCGGATGTCCAGATTGAAAAAGAAAAAAAAAAGTCCAGATTAAACACACACACACACACACACACGCACACACACACACGCTGCTGTAGTATTATCCGAATTATTTTGAACACACTTACACACACACACACACACACACACACGCGCGCTGCTAAAGTATTATCCGACTTATTTTGAACACACTTACACACACACACACACACACACACACACAGAGACCACTTTTCTCAGGGGTGTCGCTAACTCTGGGTGATGTCGTGAGTCCTTATCCATCAGTCAAATGAATCCTGGGCAGACTGTCGAGGTTCAACCTCCTGATGAGTCGGTGAAAGTCCGACGAAACAGTCTGGCACAGTTATGCTTTTTTTGAGTGTATAGCGAATATGACGACACACACACACACACACAACCGATTCTCCTTGGCCCGCTGAAGCTCACCCAAGATTGCAAGTACAGGCCCTTCAGGGCCGGGCCGGTTGGCCCAGCGGTGCACCAAAAACTCCACCAACAATTTTCGGGGGGGCACCAGGCACTGGAAAATCGCCTGGGAACCCCAATTCTTTTTTTTGAATTTTCTCGAAATGGTGTCCAACCGGACCCCTCAAACCGGACACAGGATCCGGACATCCCAACCGGACCCCTCAAACCGGACACAGGATCCGGACATCCAGACCGGACCGTCTGGATCCCGATCCCGACGTCCGGTTGACAACCATGATAAATGGCATTAGAAATTTTCTAAAAATTCAGACCTCCATTAACCGTCTCTCCGCTGCCTGAAACTGGTACCGTACCCAGCCTGGTCAGGGTTGACGAACTCTTTTTAGTAGTTTTTACTTTTTCTTTTATTTTCTTTTCTTTTTTTTTTGCGTTAGGGTTGCTGTCCGGATGTAATGGTAGTTTAGAACATCAAGAATGGCAACTCCACCCAACGCAGTGAATGATGGCAGGGCCCAGATTTTTTATTTTTTCACTTTCATTTTTTATGGCATCTGGATTTCACCTCAGGTCTGTATTTCAGCAGCGAACGGGTCTACCAACTGAGCTACGCCAGATTTCCCCCCTCTGAGACTGCCAGAAAAGTCGGCACCAGTTCAGTCCCATCCGATTGAGTTGGGTAGGGTACCAGGATACAATCGCGGTTTTCGACATCGATAGCCACTCATCCCGAAATAGGCACTACAGCGAAGAGCCCGACTCAGTGGGTAGACAACACCCATGGGCTGTTGAAATGCAGATCCGAGTTCGAATCCAGATGGCGGAACGTGAAAGGCAGTCCACGATGAAGACCCCAAATTTGAATTTCAGGGTAAAGGTGTCAGGCCAAGGGAGGCCAAGAGAGGCCAGCCAGTTCAGAAAGGTCACAGTCGGGTACCTTGGGAGTCCCAAGTCCAACAGGCACCTGGTGAGCAGTGACATCCCAGAGGCAAAGGTTGCGTTCTATAAGCAAAAGTCACGTCTCATATCGAAAAGTCACCTCCCGCGGGCAAAGGACACTTCGCCAGGCAAAAGTCGTGTCCCAGAGGTTTTGACTGTGAGTCACAACCCACAGTCAAAAGTCAGGTTCCATCCAAGTGAAAAAAAAGTCGTGACTCACAGGTCCAAGCAGCAGCACACCAATGAAAATTCGGGGAAAGTACCAGGGCCGGACATTGAGAAGCAAACAGGTCGTGGGCATGTGGTACTACCAGTACCAAGTCAAACCGGAAGAAGCAGAGGCTGGGACGAGGGGAAGCTCAGTCCAAGTCAATATAAAGACTGGCCAGCCACATTTCAGGGCGATTGCTCATTCATGAGAAGTGTGGAAGTGCTGCTGAAGCGCTTGTGCGCTATCTGCGAGGAGCATGCGCGAGAGCCCTGCTGGGAAGCGCTGTGCTGAGGACGGAAGGCGTCCATAGGAGATGGAGCTGAGTGGTAGCAGATGTATTCAGAGTCAAGATTCTCAAGAAGAGAGAGAGGGGGAGAGAGAGAGAGCGCATGCATGAAGAAAGATCAGGAGAGAGAGAGAGAGAAGACACAGAGAGAGAGAGAGAGCCAGGGAGAGAAGAGAGGCACCTACCTTAGATGAGGAGCGCTTGGTGGCGCTTGGTGGCTGGGTCTGTGCTGTTGTTGAGCGCTTGGTGGCTGGGTCTTCAAAACTGTTTAATGTAATAATTTGCTGGAATTTCTAAGGTGCGCATATCTGGACTTTGCACCTCTGGACTCCAGTGTGGATTTTGTGTGATCTCTCAACGTGTGTGTGTGTGCTCATGGTGTCGAGCTGTGAGGCTCAATGCAAACGCGATGAGTAAAACCAAATATTTCTGAATAGCCCCGGGCCGGTCAGCTCAATGATGATATCTCAAGGCCGTCGTCCTTTCGAAAAAAAAATGGAAAAAAAAAAAAAAAGGGAATACAGGCAGCCTCTGGGACTTCTCCCCTCTGTGCAAGGATGTAATCATAGTTTACGACATTGATACCATACCAGCAATTCATCCCAAAATAGGGACTTTCCCATCTGGGAACTACCTGAAACCGGTGCATTGGTACCGTGGTACCAAGCCCCATTAGAGAAGCGGTTCGTGGAAGGCCCAAAATTCGGCGAACTCCGAAAGCTACTCTGAATAGGGTTTTATAGTGCTCTTCAATTTTTTTTATTTTTTTCATTTTTTTCGTGCCTGATCCTTTTTTTTTTGTTTGTATTATGACCCTGCACAGTTTGTTCGCAAAAGTTTCGACAACATTGCTTGTAGTGATGCGGCGAAAAACCCCAAATTTCGGGCCTTCCATTAACCGCTAGTGTAGACTCGGCAAGTCAGGTTCAGATGAACTGGTGGTTGTGGGTAGGGAGACATTGAGACCACCAACCCCTTTTTTCTTCCTTTTTTTGGGGGGGGGTGGGGGGTGGGGGGGGGGGTAGTAGTTTCATCCCCAACCCCCATCAAGAAAACACTGAGGGTCGCAGTAACTGATCTCAGTTTACTGGTTTCCTTTTCTTTTCCTTCTTTTCTTTTTTCTTTTTTTTTTTAATAGGTGTTTACTGGTCTGCTCCCTCCCATCAGTACACACATTTTTTGGGGCTTTTTTTTTCTAAATTTGAGATACACTGATACAGTATTTATTATTTATTAATTGCTGGAGTAGATGGAAAAGAGCTTGGAGCAGATTAGAGAGCGGAGGGGGGGGGGAGTGGGGGGGGAGGGGGGGGAAAGGAACATGCACATCCATAATCCATTACAATTGGAGTGACACTGGTATGGTAATTGAGAATCGAGGATGTCATTATTTGTTTTAAAGGTCAAGTGTTCTGGGCCGTGGCCCCCAGCAAGCCTCGTGGGCCCCCCCTAAGTGAAGGCGGGCCTGAATATTCAAGTGAGGCCTGTTTTCGACAATTTTTCCATAAGAGGTAGCTCAGACAGTTGCAGCACGCCAGTTGGTTACAGAGCAACGTGAGCCTCCAGGCGCTTTGCAGAAGCAAGGGGTGCGCTGTAAAGTTGAGCCCAGGGGTCAGGTGGGAGCGCCCTGGGCAGACGCTGCATGAGGCCGACACAGCACGGACTGGCCGTGGGCCAACGAGAAAGCAGAATTAACGTCACGCATGTGCGGCGAGACAATGAGAAGGGGGCAAACACATGGGAGGCTGGGTGGCGGCCTGGACGGGCCTAACTGCACGAGGCGGAGGCCAGTATACAAAACTGGACCTGGGCGAAGAAACTTGGGGCCAGAGTCGAGCTAGTGGGGGAGCTAGTGGGGGCCCACACACACGCTTGGGCAGGCCAGCCAGCAGCGGGCACACATTCCATAAAAGGAAAGTGTGTCCCCAGGTGGGGGGCATCCTGGCCTGAGCAGGCATTGCGGCCACGCTGCTGCTATGTCGGGCGACACTGCGCTATGCAGGCAGGATGGGGCGCACACGGGCACTAAGAGGCAAGAGGGCGCTGCAGTGGCAGCGGACGCACGGCGGCCATAGCCAGGCCAAGCGTGCGGTAGCAGGTGGTGCCGATGGTGGTCTTCGGGTAGGAGGCGCATGCAGAGGGGAACCACGGGATGACGAGGGGAGGAGAGAGAACGTACCTGGTGTATGCTGGTGGTCAGCATTGGTGTTGACGTCACCTACATTGGTCTTTGACTTCAATGCGTGCCAGTCACATGAACTTAGATAGGACAGATAGACTGAGTAGTGGTAGGCAGGGCGCTGAGTAATTAAATTCAATTAGAGGGCAATCCACAGGAAACCAACATATGTCTGTGTAGGGTGCCAGACAATAGGAGTGACATTGGATACAGTGTTGGTGTGACCAGAGAGCGTCAACATTGGCACTCGAGTTCATTGTATTACTCTTGGTGCATTTGGATGGTATCTTGGTGCATTTGCGCTCTCTGCTTGGTACATGGACTATCTGGACGACTTCGTGATTTTGCAACTTGGTTTTCTGTCTATCGCTCCTTCGTGATTTTGCAACTTGGTTTTCTGTCTATCGCTCTTGCTCATATTCCTTGCACAAACAAGGGCGATGGGCCAAGAGGAGAATCCATGGGAGGAGGTGGTCTCTCTCTTTCGTTCAGACTACCATTCTGATTTTATTTTTTTCTGTTCTTTTTTGAAATTTTTTTTTTATCGCAAATTCAAGCAAACAAGCATGATGGGCAAAGAGGCCAATCCATGAGAGGAGGTGGTCTCTCTCTTTCGTTCAGACTACCATTCTGATTTTATTTTTTTCTGTTCTTTTTCTAAGTTTTCTTTTTACGCAAATTGAAGCAAACAAGCATGATGGGCAAACAGGCCAATCCATGGGAGGAGGGGGTCTCTCTCTTTCGTTCAGACAACCATTCTTGTTTTTTTTTTCCCTGTTTTTAACTTTTTATTTATTTACCCAAATTGAACTAAAAAAGGATGATGAGCAAAGAGGCCAATCCATGGGAGGAGGGGGTCTCTCTATTTCGTTCAGACAACCATACTAATTTTTATTTTCATTTTGCTAATACCATTTTTCTCGATTTATGCGTGTCATCCTTGCGAAGGGGCCATGCTAATCTTCTCATTCTCAGTATCGTTCCAATTTTCATTCTCTGTATCGTTTGAATTTTGGTTTCAATTTTGACGGATGAGCTGAAGGACGCTGACAACCATTCACAAAATCCAAATTACTAAATTAGGAAAAAAAACTTTAAAAAGTTAAAAAATGACAAAGAGGAATTTCCTTGTATAATATCTGGACCGCATCGGGGGAAATTTTTTAAAAACCTCGATTCAATTTTGCACCACACCAAGCGATTTCAAAGAGGGCTTTTTATGTGTTCGCGTGTGAAAGAGTGCGTGTGTGCATGTGTTGGGGGGGGGGGGGGGGGGGAAGAGGGGGGGGGGGGGGGGGAGGGAGAGAAAGAAGAAGGAGAATCAATGCACATCGTCTACATACTTTAACCACATACATTAATGTACGTTTTCCTATTTTAGAGTTCGAGGCGTCATATAAAACATAATGTTGGTTTTTATTTTTTTATTTTTTTATTTATTTATTTTTTCCGGTGGTACTTATGCATTCACTTACTAAGTTATTAATTATTAATATCTATTACGCATCACTCTTTTGTTCAATTGCAAACTGTTTTTTTTCCCTACTGATTATTACTGATGTGGGTCACATCTATGACGATGATGTTCCTTCGACATAAATGCCTGACTCGTACCCAAAAAAAAAAAAAAAAAAAATCCCCCTTAGGGCATTTAACTTTGATATTCCCCGCACATCGTCATGTCCTGCTGGCAGGGACCGGGTAAGCAAGCCCGTACGATTTCGGTTCCAAAAATGCCCAAAATGAGACCAGGAACGTCACAGTTAAATGCCCAAAGTACTATTTGTTTTTATTTTTTTAATACTATCCTTATAACAAAGACAAATTCTCGATTAAATTAACAATTGCACTACGTGCTGCTCGAAGGAGTATTTGATGTTTTTTTTTTTTTACTATCCTTATAACAAAGAAAAATTCTCGATTAAATGAACAATCGCGCTACACGCTGCTCCCCAACGAGTGGACTGGAGGTTTAGTTTCAAAAATTATACTGCACAGGGGGAGTTATAAGGAAGAAGATAAAAAACTCAATTCATTTTTCCTGGTTTTCTTTCTTTTTTTCTTGTTTTATTTTTTATTTTTATTTTTTTTGGTTCTTTTTTTTTTGTTCTTTTTTTTTTTTTTTTTTTCACATTTGCGCTCTGATATTGGGCCTCGCTGCACTACTCTCGAAATGCACAAAAGACAAAATTCATGGTGGTGTATCTTCCATCTCCTAGCAGAAGATTCACTCTCGTTTTGCACATTTCGAGAGTAGTGCAGCGAGGCCCATTCTTGTGACAATATATATATAGTGTCACAAAGATGTCAGAGCGCAAAAGCGAAAAAAAAAAACAAGAAAAAATCAATTCATATATAATATATATTATAATATAATTATATATATCGTCATATATATCGTCACAAACAGTCATATATATATAAACAGTTTGTCACAGCCCCTCGTTTGTTGTCCTCTTCTCCCTCTCTGCCTACGGTTTACCGGGCAGTTCTATTTGACGATATATATATCAAGAAAAGTATACTTAAAAATATATATATATTTAAGAAAAAAATCGAAGCTTATACTGCCCTTCCACCAAATACAAATCTCTCTTCTTTCCTCCGAATACAAAACACCCCCCTCTTCCACCCTCCCAATATACAGCACCACCATCCTCCCGATATAAAACTCTCTCCTCTTCTTTTCTCCGAACATAAACCCCCCCCCCCCCCCCCCCCCCCCCCCTCCTTCCTCCCAATACACAACACCCTCCCCCCATGACGGGGACAGCGTCGGCGCAGGGATTGACACGTGGATGAGGAAGCGATTGACACGTGGCATGACGGAGATGATTCGGTGACGATAGTCGGCTTGAGTATGGAACACGTGAATGCAGCGTTTGACACGTGGATGACGAGGCGATTGACACGTGGCATGGCGGCATGACGAAGATGATTCGGTGACGACGCCAGTCGATTGAGTATGGAACACGTGAATGCAGTGTTTGACACGTGGATGACGAAGCGATTGACACGTGGCATGACGGCATGACGGGGACAACGTGAATGCAGTGATTGACACGTGTCATAACGGCATCACGGAGACAATCGATGACGACAGTCCCTTGCGGAGGAAACGCATGACGGCGACAACGTGAGCGCAGTGATTGACACGTGGATGAGGATCGTGACCTCCTCCTGAGCATTTTCACAGTTCACTGCCCTCAAGTGTCGCTGCAATTCACTATAAATAGATTCACGACATCAATCCACGTGTCAATCTTTTCGAATACTGATCAAGATGATGATGATGATGATGATGATGATGATGATATGGATGGAACACATCGATAATGATGACGATGATGATGATTACGACGATGATGATGATGATGACGATGGGGTGCCGATCGTCAAGATGGTGATGATGTGTGATGTAGTGTCGAAGGATGATGGCAACGAATCGAAGATGAGAATGATGAGGGACGACGATAAGGACGCTAATTACGCGAACGATGATGATTATGGCGCGAACGACGATGATGATGAGCACAAGGATAATGATAATTAAGAAAACAAATCGCAACGACGAGTAAATGATGATGATGATGATAAGAGTAAAAATGCTGATGACGTGCCGAAAATCATGAAGTAGACTGATGATGAGGACACGGACCGAGGCTGATGATGAGAATGATGACGAGACAGAAAATATGAAAACGACGACGATTAAGATGACGCACAGAAATGATACGGAAGATTATGAGGATGATTAAAAAATGGTAATTAGGATGATGATAAGGACGATGATAAGGAGTAGGAGGACGATGATAAGGACGATGATAAGGACGATGATAAGGACGATGATAAGGAGGAGGAGGAGGAGGAGGAGGAGGAGGAAGAAGATGGAGTCTAGGACGATGAGGAAGATCAGTATGACAAGGAAGACGATGGGAACGATAAGGAAAATTAGGAGGATTAGGACACGATAAGGAAGATGATGATGAAGGTGATGAGGGAAGATGAAGAAGATGATGAGGATGATGATGGCGATGATGATTGCAATGATGATTGCAATGATGATTGCGATGAGGATGAGGATCGTATAGACATGTTGAGGAAGATGAGGAAGATGAGAAAGATGAGGAAGATGAAGGAGAAGAAGAGGATTATGATGTCGAAGATGATGAGAATGATTATGGTGGCAACGATGAGGATGATAATGCCGATGATGACGAGGATTGCGTGTAGTGATGACTAGGGAAATGATGGAAGGAAATGACGAGGATGAAGAAAATGACGATACGGAGAGAGGCACGTGGGAGACGAGGACGACGATGTAGATGATCATGAAGATGACGAGGGAGGCGACATCGACGATGATGATGATAATGATGACGACTGATGATGATGATGATGATGATGATGATGATGATTGATGATGATGATGATGATGATGATGAGAATGATGATGATGATGATGATGAGAATGATGATGATGATGATGATGATGAGAATGATGATGATGAGGAGGAGGAAGAGGAGGAGAATGATGCTGACGTTGATGATAAATGTTGATGTCAATTGGAACAACAAATTAAGAAAACGAATAACAATAAAAGGGGAACAAAAGGGCAGAAAAACGAAAACAAGGGATAGAAAAGAGCGGGAAAAAAAGTGACAACCGGAAAAAACGAAAGGAAACAAAAGAGAAAAAATAAGAGTGAAAAGAAGGAAAAAAGGGTTGAAAAAACATAAAAACAAAAAAACAAAAAAACAAAAAAAGAGAAGGTTGCTCCTGCCACTAGTAGTCGTATGCTTTTGTCTCAAAGACTAAGTGTGAACACTTGTACTGTGAAACTGCGAATGGCTCACCCTGGACCTTTATTAAAAATATATATATATATTGTCACATTGTGAATCAGATATATATATATAAAAAAGAAACTGCGAATGGCTCATTATTACTGTAAATCAGTTATCACTTATTTGGTGGTGGTCTACAAAAAGAAAAGAAAAAGAAGAGGGGGAAAAGAAAAAAAACAATTCAAAACACAGAAAAAAGAGGATCGAACCTCCAAACTAAAAGAGGACAGATAGAAGTGGGGTGATCCACTCATGCTGGTGCAGAGGACGGACGGACGATGGGCTTTGACGACGACAGTGCTACGTTGTGCGTGCTGCTACCTCTTTGCCTACCACTCACACACATCATAACGTAAGTGGAGAGTCAGTTCACAGAGCGCCTGATGCATTACCAATTCCCATCTGCACCTCCCCTCTCTCTCTCTCTCTCTCTCTCTCTCTCTCTCTCTCTCTCTCTNTCTCTCTCTCTCTCTCTCTCTCTCTCTCTCTCTCTCTCTCTCTCTCTCTCTCTCTCTCTCACACACACACACACACACACACACACACACATCCAAATTTACCTTATCATACTCTCTCCTTTCCTTACGACCTGTTCCCCTCCCTCCTCCCTGAGCCCCTCTTCCCTCCTCCCCACCTCGTCCGGATCCCCCTCCTCTACCACCTGCATTCTTTCTCCTCCTCTCCTCTCCTCTCCATTCCTTACCCTGTTGCCTTGGCATTCTTTCTCCTCCTACCCTTAATTGGTCCATACATCCTCTCACCCTGATTGGCTTTCATTCCGACCTCCTCCTCCTCCTCCTCCTCCTCCTCCGCACCCAACATCATCCTGATCATCACCCTTCCTCCCCCCTCCCATTCACTTTCGAGGGTGAGGAGGAGGGAGGAGGAGGTCCTCCCTGCATCCCCTTCTTCAGAAATTGCGTTCCCTACCTACACCCCCCTCCCCTTTTCTTTCGAATGCGTCTCGGCGTCTTCCCCCTCCACAACCTCATTGACCTTCTCCTTCCTCTATCGCCGCCTCCGCATCCTCACCCCGACCAGATCCCGACCTCACCTCTCATCCTCCCGATCCCGCATCCCGATCCCGCATCCCGATCCCGCATCCCGACCCCCACCCCTTCGGCCTTCTCCTGCTACTACAGCCGCTGAAGATGTCGACGGGCATCGTCTCCTCTTCCTGGTCCTCTATTTCTGGCCGCGGGCCTCTGACCACCTCCTCCCTCTCCCTCCCCCTCTCTTTCCCCCTCTCTCTGATCACCAGGTACCTGACCTCCCTCTCGAGTTTCTTTTCTTCTCCCATTCCCTCTCCGCATTCAGGGCATGGGTCCCCGCCTGCCGTCTCACCGAAATAGAGCGTACGGTGACTACAGCTGTGCATTTGGTGGAACTTTCGGTCTAGATACATCGATATTGACCGGGCGTTCTATTCGAGTGAAGAAGGTCGTCCTTCCGATAGCAGACGTGCACAAATCCTCTCCCGCCTGCAACATAGCACCCCCACGCAACAAAGAAAAAAACACCCCCACACAAAAAAAAAGAAGGCCCCC